ATGGTATTTCTGAATGGTTTTCTAATCATGTTTTGCAAGAACTATGTTTTCTTTGATAAGCTGATTATGTTGTTTTTTACAAGTGTTGACATTTCATCTTATTGACCTTTGTTTTGGATTCTTGCATTTTGTCGAAAAATTACGAAAATATTAGGAAATAAAATCTTAAAATTACCATTATTTCCGATTTTGGAACAAAAAATTAAGAATTAATGCAATTTCCGAAAATTCCGAAATCCCGCCGATTCCGAGGTATTCCGAAATTGGAATGGATTTTGAAATTCCGATTTTTTTGGAACGGAAATTGGAACCTATTTTTAACTTCCGAAAAAAATTGGAAAATTTCTAAAAAAGGTATTTCCGATCCATTCCGTCCGATTTCCACCCCTAAATTTGATCATACCTCAGGAAGGGGTGGTTGTAATTTTACCCTAAAAATAAAATAAAATAAATCATATTACTCACTATAATTAATTTTGTAAGAAAATAGCCGTAAATATAACTAATTAAAGAAAATGAATTTGGGGCTAAAATTAGGTCAAAATGTTCATCCCAATTTCTCTAAATTTCTTCCTCCAAATCTACAGAGGCTTGAATACATAGATAGATAGCAATAAACTAAAATAAAAGGCAATATAAAATGCCTCTTTCACTGAATTTATTTAATTTATTAAGCAGCGATCATAAATAAACAAAAGAAATTAAAAATAATTCCTTTTCCTATCAAATAAAGGATAGTGGATACTTAGGATGCTTATTAGCAAGAAAAATCCCCCAATGCTTCTCAAGTTCAGGGCTCTTCTGATTCTCATCGATTAGGTCGAAAACGTATGTTTCGATTTCCTTCCCGGGTTTTTTCGGTGTCCCGTTTTTAACACTCTTGATCAAATTCGAGTTGTAAATCTGCGCATTCTTGACCGTAGTAGCGGTCCCACCTGCCGAAGGCCACCCACTTTCCGTCACCACGACTTCCACATTTGCCCCTCCCGCCTTCTCCAACGCCGCGTGAACGGCATCCACCATGGCATCAAAAAGACTCCGATACTGATACCCTCCGTCCGTCACAACTGCCGAATTCGACGTGAAAAGCGCGTAGTCCAGACGAATATTTGTCGTGTCGCTAGTGTAGGCGAAGTAAGGGTACACGTTGATGAGAAAGGGCCCGTTAGTTTTTGCGAGAAATTGAACTATCGGGCTGATGAAAGTGGGGGCCGATATAAACTCCCCCGCGGAGGGCGGGTAGGATTTGGCCAAGACCCCCATGCTCAACGCGGTGGAGACCTTGACTTTTCGGCCGAGGGTAGTTTCGGAAAGCGCGTTGTGTATGTTTTGCATCGCCGGGGCGACACTTGGCGCTATGCTCGAACTTGCGCCGTCTAACGGGCTGATTTCGTTTCCGACCGCGATGTACCTAAAGTTGACATTTCTGTACTTTAGAATATGGTTTTGGATCCACGATTTGGCTAAAGCGGGATTGTTTGCGATGCCTTGGATTTCCTCGTTCGGTACACCTACTATGACCGAGATATTAGGGTTTCGGTTTAGCGCTTCGAGAATCGAAGGGTTCGGGTTATAGATACGGATTCTTTGAATGTTGTGCTTGTTGCAGAGAGCGAGTAACTCAGTCGGTGATGGTAGGTTATTACCGAGTGTGCCATAACAAGCTCCTATTTGAGCATCTGCACAAAATTAAGATTTGTTCGTTAGTCGAAAATACTAGGTTTAAGTGGAAAAAATAACAAAAAAAAAATAATAATAATAATAATAATAATCTTGATATATATATATAAAAAACAAATTTTTCGAAAACGACCTGCTGAGTTTAAGCAAATCACCGATAGCACGGTTAACAGAACTCCAAAGATCGCTGCAGCGTTTTGATTCTTGAACTGCGATTTCGACATTGTTTATAACTAAATAATTATAAGAAAGAGTAAGAGGTAGATATATATATATATATATAGATATAGATATATGAACAGATTCTGGCTGTACAGAAAATTTAGGTAGTTTACATATTTATTTATATGCAATAAAAGGAATGGGCTATATTAAATACAATGCAGAAACAATTATAGTAATTTGCCATTTCTTTGATTGTAAATTGTCTGAAATAATAACCTTGCGCAGATTCTTGATTTTGTTTCTAATTGTTACTATATATGCTCCTTTGAGCATGAATACGATTTGCTGTCGAATTTATACTGACAACTTTGCCTCGATAAGTTTTCCGATTTTCATCCGAAAAATCGAAACAAATTAATTTGTGTATAAATGTCTAAATAAAAGAGTGTTTTTTTTTTTACAATTTTCTTTTTCAAATATAGTATAGAATTTGAAATAAGGTTGATATAAAGAAAAGCCTATGTTTTATTCCTTGACATAAACTCATAATTATGTATAGACATATATTCTAATAAATTATCTAAATTATTTTCTTAACGGATAATATAAATAACTTTGTTCAATACAAAAGGGATTTTTAATTTAAAGAAAACAAATAATAAAATAGACAAAATAAAATCATTTTTTGGGGGGTAAAAATTACGGTTATCCCCTTAAGTACGGTCAAATTACGAGAAACCCCCTCTTGTTTTGGTAATTAAAATCACCAATCAACTATGAATCTTCTTACACGATTATTTCTTATGGTGTCAAATTCAAAATAATGTTCTAGATTCCATGTAATGTTTCTATTTTGTACTCGTTTTGTGCAAAAATACAGTTTCTGATGCACCACAATCTATATTTCCAAAGCCAAGAAACACGTCTTATAATTATCTTGTTTCAAAATGTGGAGTTCGAATGGTGTAAAACGGGTATAAAATGGAGAATATTCCACATAATCTAAAAATTCCATTAAATTTAACACCGTGGCCGTAAGGGTAGACGTGTAAGAAAATTCGTAGTTATGGTAATGATTGTAATTACCCAAACATCGGGGGTCTTTTCGTAGTTTGACATACCTCAGGGGTGGCCGTAATATACTTTTTTTTTTGGGTAGAAATTAATAAAAGTAATTGTTAATGTATGATTAGGATTCTCTTATATTTCTTATTAAATAAATATATTGTAATATAAATTAATAAAATTTGAATAAAATTTCTGGCAAATTAGCAAAGCTATAATAAACATGTCGTCGGCGATTACTCAGCTCTCATGCTTCTCTTCCATTGTTAGCAGCCGCCGGTTGAATCTGCAAACCGGATCCTACCGCTTACCCACCAGATTTCGACCCGGAAAGGTACAGTAGATCCCCCTATTTCTCCGATTTTTTATTTTAACAGATCAATCTGTAATTTTTGCGAGCGTTGTGGATCTACTTCTCAAATAAACGATAACACTAGGGTTTGCTGCTGAATTAAACAGAATTTAGTTCAACATTCGATTTTGTCTGTCTTTGAATCCTGAAAAAACGTTAAAGAACAATTTTTTATTTATTTATTTAGGGTATAGTCTAAGAATCAATTTTTAAGTTTGCTGGTATGAAATATGAGATCAGTTTTTTTTTTTTTTTTTTTTTTATGTATCTTTGTCACTTGAAAATAATGTGAATTCGACTTCGAATATCTTTCTCTTCAGGTGTTAATAAATGTTACAAACAGTTACGAACACGGCACAACGGTATCTAACTCGGAGAAGAAGACAACTCCAAGCTACACGAAAGATACATCACATAATCAGCACATAGAGGAACAAGTTGTCAGCCAATCAAAAACGGCAGCAAAGATTCACGACTTTTGTCTCGGAATTCCCTTCGGTGAGTATTTTATTGACCTAGAAATAGTTCCCGACTTGTGTTGTTGGCTCACTCTACGTTTTAGAGGGATTACAACAAAAGGCTAAAAAATGTTGAAATTCTTGAGCTTTCGCCTTTCTTGCACACAAGTTAGCACGATCGAATGTTGCAGTTAATTACATAATGAATTCAACATTAGCCGATTTGATGCAGATTTACGTAATCTAGGTGGCATTTCGCATTGAGAAAGTTAGGGCGAGACTACTAGATAGTACATTCACGAGATAGCTAATGAAATTTCTCCACTTCCCGTGTATTTGGAGTCACAAAAATATGTTGCTCTAATTAGATTGTCTTTTTTTTTTATTTAAGGTGGGCTTATCCTAGGCGGGGGGCTCGTTGGCTTTATTTTTTCAAGAAGCCCCGTTACTTTAAGTACTGGTATACTTTTCGGAAGTGCTATACTTGCACTTAGCATTTTTAGTATGAAGGTGTGGAGAGAAGGAGAATCGAGCTTTCCATTCATACTCGGCCAAGCAGGTAATAACAAATTACATTCCCCTTTTGCAGAAATCCTTCAAAAAAAAGTGTTTTTTCGTTATGTTGAAAGTAGTAAATGGACTAAAATAACCCTCTCGCTTTCTCGTTTGCAGTACTGTCTGTTGCCTTCCTGTGGAAGAATTTTCAGGCGTATTTCCAGACGAAAAAACTATTTCCGACAGGCTTTAATGTTGTGATCAGGTACTGTAATAGCATTTTTGCACTAAATCGATTTATACTGCATATCTAACTCTAAACCTTATTCAATATTCGTCGTTCTTGATTTGAGTTTTATAAATGTGTTAGTGCTGCAATGCTGTGTTTCTACTACTATGTGGTGATTTCTGGCGGCAATCCTCCTCCGAAAAAGTTGAAGCCGGAAACAGCTGCTGAAGGTTCTTAGGCTTATACGAGTAAGTGAGACAATCCTCACAATTTGTTATTTTCTTCTTTTACTTTTTTTTTGGCTAGTGGAGTAAAGTTTATAACTTTATATGTTGTCGAAATTAAAGTCGTTAATTTTATGTGTAATTTTCGGTTATTTGAGATATCAGATGCACAATTTTTCGAATAAAAGTGCGACACCTCAACATAAATATCACAATTTTTGCCCCCCATATAATGTTCTTGTGTTTCCATGTAATATTCAATAATTTGGTGTAAAACTAGGGGCGTAAATTGGAATGGAATCTTGGATTTCTGTCGATTCTGATCCGAAATTTTCCAATTTTGGAACAATATTTTCCATTCCGTATTCCTAAAAATCTGAATTTTTTTTGGATCGGAATTCCACCGTTTTCGATTTGAAAATATCGGTTTTTGGAACAGTTTATTTCAATTCCAATTTCCCAGATTCGAATTTTTTTGGAACATAATTAGAATTAGTTTTTATACTTCCGGAAAGAAAATGGAATATTTCCGTACGTGCTAATTCATATCCGATCCAATCGATTTCCACCGTAAAACCCAAATATATGTGTTGTATCTTCTGATTCCAATTGGGCTTTCAACCGTAAAACTCAAAGTTGTGGGCCTGTGAGTATAATTAATTAATTATCCACAATGAAGCCCAACAGTAATAAATTTCATGTTTGGTATCCGCAATAACTTGTTGTGTCGACCCGCAGATATTATGTTATCATGACTTATTTTGCCTTCTAGGCATGTTTTTTATTGGATCATCAAAGGTCCAATAATTTAATTTGATTTTATTAAATTATTTAATTTTATCTTGACAACCAAACGAGCCCTTAATATTTATTTATTATCTATTGATAACATATTAATATCTGTGAAATTGCATTTAAGTGCCTGTCAATTTACAAAACATAGCAATCGCCAATTGTATCTTAATTGTCACATTAAGACCTTTTATTTTATTTATGTTCATGGATCTATCTTTTTCAACTCTCTCTTTCACACACGTGAACGTGAACGAACACATTCAAAAACTCAAACCCACCTAAAATGACATGCACTATATATATATATATATATATATATATATATATATATATATATATATATATATATATATATATATATATATATATATGCAAAATTCAACATCATAAATGGTGGTTATGGACTCCATAAAGCAAGATTATTGCCCAGAATAGCAATTTAAGTCGATTTTTGATGGCTTTTTCAATTTAAGTTGATTTTTCATAACTTATTTTAAATAGTTGATAAGCTCTTACATCAGATAAGCTATTTTAAGAGCTACTTATAAGTTTAATCAAACACCCTTTGAATCTAGGAGCTAAGCTTTTGTTATTGTACTAAATTCAAGAAACACAATCATAAAAAAGATACCAATTAGTTTAAGTGGACAAAACCATTAATCATCAATAATAATGGAATAATATTATCAAATAAAAATTGTTACTCTTAAAATTCTTTGTCCTAATCATTTAATGGAATAATTTGTGACCATAAAATAATTTAATGTTTCATCATGGAAAAAAAATGAAGTTGATACTATTACATATGACCTAATTCAGCAAATGGAAATCGTTCATTATTAAAATCCAAATTCGGATTCTTAATTATTGGCTATTAATAGCTACAAATTATAGGTTGACATAGTGCATTTACTATTTAGTGTAATTATTATTTATTTATTTATTTATTATTGTTATTATTTAGGGTAATTATGCTTTACCAAACTTGTTCTTTCTTTTCCAACACAAATAGAATTGTATATGAGTTGAGCCGATTCACGAGTCTCTTGAACCGGTCTAACAAAAGCTCAAGTTCAAACTTAATAATTTGGGGTTTGAACTCACGAGCTTGTGTTTTTTTAAGACTCGAGTTTGGGATTCCTTTCAATTCTTCGTATGATTAGAGTAAATTATCGCCACATCAAATTTAAAAATTAAACTTGCTTCAATCTTTAAAATTAGTTTATTATAAATAACTCTTACAATTATAATAATTAAAAATTATAATACTTGTTATTTTTTAATCTTTATTTAATTTTTTTACTAATTAATAATAATCTATTAAACTTCTCTAGATGCTCATGAGCCGTCTCGAGAGTCCCTAGTGGTAAGTGGTAACCTTGAGTTTTAACTCGTAAATTCAGGTTTAAACTAAAAAGTTTATTTGAGCTCAGACAAGCTCGACTCGTTTACATCTAGTGAAAAAAGAAAAGCATAAAGATCGATAAAAATAGGGAAACAATTGCATAAACTCTTTATTGTCTGATAAAAAGTGTTCATCAACTCTTTTTTTTTAAGCCATGTAAATTTATGACTTAAAAGTTTATGTAAAATTAATGTAAAAAATGATGAAAAGGAATATATATTATTTTTTATTGTAAAAGTAATGAATGAGACTATATTATTTTTTATTTTTTATTTTTTATTTTTTATTTTCATTTTTATTTCCTTTTTGGTCGATAAGATTTTTTTGTGGTATAATCACAAATATGTGGAGACAAATATGATGTAATTGATTTGGTGAATAAGATTTAGTGGATATTATTAGTGCATTGCCACTCAAATCAATTCCCCAAATTAAAATTTGGGCATATTATATTACAACTTGGATGTGTCTCATTTCTTGCAAGAAATAATGGGACTAGCATTAAAGTTATATATATGTTTGATAAAATTGAAAGTTGATGATGTTGTCTATGGTTCCATGTTACTTTTCACAAAGTACTTAATTCGAAATCTTTTATTAATATAAATCATATATTTTCATTGATAATTTATGAAACTTGAAAAATAAATAATTGATGGTGCAAAATTTGCGCCCTAAAGACCGTCAGATAGCTCACCGGGCATCGGACCAGGGGCTGGCGGCGATGGAATAGTGAATGAAAAATAAGACTGAGAGAGAATTTGAGAAAAAAGTGTAAAAGTGTGTTATTGATAATAAAATGTAACACTAATAGAGTTTCATACGTTCGTTTATATACAACTATTTGCTAATTCACTGATCTTAAAATATACAATTTTCTGATTTATGTTATGAAAATTATTCCAAGATCTTCTTCAACGTCTATCTCCAGTTCGCTACCTACCACCTATTATTTTTCCTTTAATGCGATATGACGAACGTAAGTGGGCTTTACGCGCGAGTTGTATGTCGACGTTGTATGTCGACGACCTTATCGTTTGAGCATTCTTATAGTAAACAATTTGGTTCATCTCGATACTTGCCATTTATCGGGATTTGGCCTGATGGGTTTATTTCCCTATCATTCATTGGGCCTTGGCCCAATAAATTTTTGGCGGGGAGGATTCGGCCCAATATTGCTAAACTGACCCCATCATTAACATCAGAATAAAAACTAATATCATCGTTTTCTTATTTTTTAAAGTTTGGTATAAATTTAGCACCTAAAAAAAAAGATTGATGGATTAGCAAAAGATAAGTGAAAAGATCCAATAAAAACATTAGCAAATAATGCATGATTTTTAAATTTTCTTGAGGCAAAGCCATTATAGATGGAGGAAATTAAAATAGCAATGTATGTAACCACAAATTAATTTGAGAATCTTATGTAAGTAGACCACCTATTGATGATGCTTGCTTGCTTGATGCTGATTGGCTCCCACTTGGGCCACTTTTACAAATATATCAACATTTTGTTGATAACTTGACATCTTAAAGGTGCAGTCACAGTGCCTGCAATTTAGGGCATTAAAGCAAGTTGTGTTTACTAAGTCTTTAAAAATAAATAAAGGGGCAATTTGCTATAGGTCCTCCTCTAAGAGATTATATGTGTTAAAATCCATCTAATAAACTCTAATTTCCAGCAGATTTTATTATATGTAATTTGTCAAAAATACCCCTATCAATATATGGTAAAATAAATCTTCAAAATCAAATCCCCTATTTTTCTCCCTATATTATACAACAAATCCGAAAATTAGGACTGCAACTCTCTTGATATCGATTCTTCCCTGTTTTTTCAAAACCAAGATCTCCACAAATTTTGAAGCCTTCCATAAGTTTGGGTGTCTGAGCGTTTGCAATTTACAAGGTCGTTTGCAGTTTGCTGGTTAGAAATTGTTTTTTGTTCGGTAACAACTCAGGTTGTAAAAAATGCACCACCGCTACGAACGTCGCGCCACTGCCGCAACCGCCCGCTTATGTCTCTATAAAATGCAAATAGCAAACTAATAATTAAAACTTGCATTATTGAATTTAAAACAACAAACTACCTATGAATTCACCAAATACAAACAATCAATCGAACAAGAAAAAAAATCAGCATCATCTAATTACAAAAAATAAAATGAAAATATGATATGCAATATCTAAATGCAAATAATAAAAATAAAAATACATAACACAAATATCATACATATCATAAAAATGATAAAAATAACAATAAAATTATAAAAAATATTCTATCAATGCAAAATTGCAATTTGCAGTTTGCAACAAAATCTACTGTTATCGATTGCAATTTGCAGTTTGTAACAACAATTTGATTTTGCAGTTTCATTATTTTGTTTTTTGCTATCATACATATCATAAAAATGCAAAAAATAACAATAAAATTATAAAAAAAATATTCTATCAATGCAAAAATTGCAATTTGCAGTTTGCAACAAAATCTACTGTTATCGATTGCAATTTGCAGTTTGTAACAACAATTTGATTTTGCAGTTTCATTTTTTCGTTTTTTGCTATTTATTGAACCAAAATCAATTAGAAATACAAACAAACATTTAAAACTCACTACAGATAAATACAAAACGAGAAAAAAAAACTCACCTTGTGCAAGCAATGAGCGATTTATGTTTGTGTCCGCTTTAACTCTTTCACCGAAAAATCATCTAATAATGTGAAGCTTCAATTTTTTTTTTCCTTCCCTACAACATAATCCAAAAGAATTCGAATTCCAAAGAAAAAAAAATCGAACAGATGTAATCGAGAAAGGGTATAGAGAAAGAAAGAAGTTGATCGGAAAAAAAAATCGAAAAGTGTTGATCGAAAAGAAAAATAAAATCAGAAGAAAAAAGCCAGAGACACGAGATGGAGAGGAAGAGAAATATGGGAGATTATATAGGAAGAAAGATACGTAAGATTGGAGAGAGAGAATGTATGATATTTGTTTTCTTATTAAGTGAGGGTGTTTATGTCCATATACTAATTGTTTTATTTTATTTATATTATTTTTTTGTGATAAAGGACCTATGCCTATATTCATCTAGCAACTAGGATCTCTACCTATATAAGTCCAGAATAAGGGGTGTCTAGCCAATTTCCCCATAAATAAAATAGGATAAATTACAATAAGTATGGTCAAATTACAACAAAAACCCTCTTGTTTGGATAATTACAACCACCCCTCAATTATAAATCTTTTTATAAGTCCACTCTTGCGGCTTCAAATTTCGTGGAATTTTCGAGATTATATGGATTATTATCATTTTTGTACCCGTTTTATCATATTTGAACTCCACATTTTAAAGCAAGATGATCATAATATGTGTTTTTAAACTTGTATATATCAGATTGTGGTGCATCAGAAACTGTATTTTTACACAAATCGAGTACAAGCTAGAGCACATTTCACGAAATCTAGATGATTATGTTGAATTTGACACCATAAGGGTGGAGATGTAAGAAAAAAATCATAGTTGAAGGGGTAGATGTAATTATCCAAACAAGATGGTTTTTTTCATAAATTGACCATACCTCAGAGGGTGGTTGTAATTTACACAATAAAATAAAATAATTGAATCGAAATCCAGCCGAACACATTTCTATTCGAATTTTAAAAATTACGTTTTGAGTTTCCTTTGATTATCAATCGAGTCGAGCTCAAAATAGTTTCGATCAAGTCGAGCTCGAACTTGGTTCGATTGTCAGCCCTATGGTATTGGTCCGATTTGAGAAGAAACAATTCAATCAATTCGAAAAAGAAAATACCTTAATAATTACCCTATTGGTTCACATATTTAGCGAGCACACAAGCTTAGTCATACATAAATAGACAAACAAACAGAAATAAAAGATAAGATAAAAACTATATAGTTGTCAATTTTTGGTGCTGACACATATTCTAGAGGGCTACTAGTGGCTAATAAACCAAAAACTAATGGAGCAACAAACTTTCAAGAACAGTAGTTTGTTTTGGTAAGAAAAAACATTGCTCTGAAAACCCTTTTTAGTATTAAAATGATAAATTATTTAGACTTGTCCCAATTCTGGGATCCAATTTTTTTCAAAAATAAATATATGATTTTGATAGGTAAACTTTTTTTTTTCTTTCTTTCTTCTCTCTAGTGTTTCCCCACATTGAAACTGTCAATCTACACATCCACCACTGCGTTTTTTTCTTACACAGTGACTAGATCATCCAAACAGGCCCCTACACACCAATGCCAAGTGTAATCTTTAGCCCACTTAAGTACAAACTATACACGAATCGAAAAACGTTATCTCTCGATACACGAACTAATCACAAAACCATGTCGGGAAGAGATAAAAAAGATCGACAATTTTACGTCGTTGTCCAAAGCATTGTATCACCTTTATATCCTGAAAAACTAGATTATTGCGACTTTTTCGACATGGACCTGAGGAAAGAAAGGCTTGAAAAGGACGTGTTCATCTTCCCGTGACCATCTTCCCATATATTAATGTTCTAGCTCGATATTTCATGTCACTACATTAACTTTACATATCATGGAATAAGTTGTTATAAATGTGATCAATCTTTGTAAGGATATAAAGAATATGGACCCTTGAAAGTTATGGTCACCCCACCAAACAAGGAATTGTTCCTTCAGTCATTATAAGAATATCTATCAACGTAAATTATTGATCCCAACTGAGATTCTTTTTTAAAGTAAACGATGAAAAGTGTTCATCAAAGAAGTCAGTAAAAAGAAAACTTACATTGGGCAAATATAGGCTGAGAAACTGAACTTCTGCTTCACTGATGACTCATTGACACATCTGCATTTTGGTAGGGGCCTCCTTCGGAATTCTGCAGTAACAGAAAATAAATTTACCTTTTTCCTCTTCTTACACAGAATCTGACGAGCATGCAAATGTGTGTCACGTAGGTAAGAAATGAACAGATTGAGTAACATATGAGAGATCCTGCACACACCACACACACACCCGCATGGGTGCGTGTATGTGGTCCAATGGTGCAAGATGTGAAGAGAAATTTCGACGCGCCGCGAACGAGCCTTTCTCGAGCATTCTTTTCCGCTGAATACCTATTGGTCTATCACAAAGCCTACAAAAAGAAAGAAAGTAAAAAGATTTAAGATTTCCCAATAATGTGAAAACAATACTTCAAGAATTAAGATTAAGGTGTTACTTAGGTGAATCATTTGATATTTATATCTCCGATACGCCCCCTCATGCGCATGCGTGTTGTATTTTGAAACTCCGCACATGGAATTGTTTCGAACACAATTGAATGACCACTTCAACTAAAATTTTAAGTTGTTAGTGAGTATATAGTGACGTAAAATCGTGATCTTGACAGAGAGGTAGTCTAAAAAAGATCCACAATCACCCTATTCTAAACAATAGAGCCCATCATATGCACTTTGAACCATCTCCACACTAGTTTTTCACTAGTCATTTTCCTCTTTAAATTCTCTTGCATATCATGCTCTTCTTCCTACTCTCCTCTCTTCTATTCACTTTATTCACATAGAAGAAAGAGAATTCATAAAAGAAAGAAGAATCGTCTTCTTCTTCTTTCGAACTTAACTCGATTTGTTTTTCTTCTTTTTGCCGATAAGAGATGTTCATCTCACTATCTCATAGCACGTTTAAGCTAAAAGCCACAATCCTAAGACTCGTACTACTTTTCTTGCTCGGCTTCACAATCAATAAAGACAACCTTTGTTCTAACCACCCCTTTGCCAACCCTACAGTTCCACCAATAACCGTACATTCATCATCGATGGCAAAGATGATATTCGACGGACACCTCAGCCTCCACAACAACGAACACGCAGCAAAAGACTTTGGCAATAGATACAATCTAATGCCATCAGCAGTATTACACCCAAAATCAGTTTCCGATATTTCTTACATCATAAGACATGTTTTCGACTTAGGTCTAAATTCTGAGCTCACTCTTGCTGCTAGAGGCCACGGCCACTCTTTAGAAGGCCAATCACAAGCATATCAAGGTGTAGTCATCAATATGGAATCATTTAAATTACCAAGAATGAGATTTCACTTTCAAACAGGAACAAAACAACCTTATATCGAAGTATCGGCTGGAGAACTTTGGATTAACATTCTGCATGAGAGTCTTAAACATGGGTTAGCTCCGAAATCATGGACAGATTATCTTCATCTCACAGTTGGAGGCACTTTATCCAATGCTGGAATAAGCGGACAGGCGTTTAGGCATGGCCCCCAGATTGACAATGTCTACCAGTTACAAGTTGTCACAGGTTTTTGCTTCTCATTACACTACATTTTTTTTCCTAAGTTTTAAGGTTATATTATATATTTCCTTACATAAGTTACTTTGTGCAGGCAGAGGAGAAGTGATGACTTGTTCGGAAAAGCAGAACGAAGATCTTTTCCACGGTGTACTCGGTGGATTAGGACAATTTGGTATTATCACCAAGGCTAGAATTGCACTAGAGCCTGCACCAAGAATGGTCATCACTCATCACATTCATTATTTTTTCATTACATGATTAGGAAATAAGTTATATAACCATAAACAACCTGTCTGATTTCTAACAACAGGTTAAATGGGTCAGAGCACTGTACTCGGACTTTTCTACATTCACCGATGACCAAGAGCATCTCATATCTTCTGAAAACTCTTTCGATTATATAGAAGGGTTCGTCATTATAAACAGAACCGGACTATTGAATAACTGGAGGTCGTCATTCAATCCCAAAGACCCGATTCTGGCCAATCGGTTCATTTCCGAAGGTAGGGTTCTCTATTGCCTAGAAGTTGCAAAATATTTCAGCCCACAAGAATATGATCACATTGATCAGGTGAGAATTTATGAACGATCCATTTTATAGCCTCTGTAAACTCAAATAAACAAATAAATAAAATAAACTCAAAAAAACATTCACTGGAAAAATGCAGGATGTAGATAAACTGTTATCGAAACTGAATTACCTTCGATCAACTCTCTTCTTGTCGGAAGTCTCGTACATCGATTTCTTGGATAGAGTCCATGTTTCTGAAATGAAACTGAGAGAAAAAGGTCTTTGGGAGGTGCCACATCCATGGCTGAATCTTCTTGTTCCAAGAAGCAGTATTCATGAGTTTGCCCAACAAGTTTTTGGCAACATTGTTAAGGATACAAGCAATGGTCCTGTCCTAATATACCCTGTCAACAAATCAAGGTACTAAAATAAAACCCTTTTAACAAAAATCAAAATCTTTACAAACAAAGGTGACAAAACCCTTTTTTATTGTTATACGGCAGGTGGAAGAATCGAACATCTTTGGTGACACCTGAAGAGGATGTCTTCTACTTAGTTGCTTTTCTGTCATCGGCAATACCATCTTCCACCGGAAAAGATGGGTTAGAGCACATTTTGACACGAAATGACAGAATTCTTGAATTTTGTGGGAGGCCCCATTTGGGGATCAAGCAGTATTTGCCTCACTATAGTACTATTGCAGAGTGGAAAGCTCATTTTGGGAATCAGTGGGAAGTCTTCTACAGAAGGAAATTGATTTATGACCCTCTGGCAATCTTGGCTCCCGGACAAAGAATATTCCAGCGAGCACACGCCTTTGGACGACAGTGACCTCTATTCAATGAAGCATATTAAATGTACATAATTGTACGATTTTTCTGCTTCTTGTCTCAGATCTGGAGCAACATATGATATGCACTCCGATAGTCTTAGACTTCAAAATTTCACTCTCATAAAACAACCAATGCTCATTCACCTATAAAAATGTATGATCGGCGCCATAATTTAGCGTAGGTGGCAATATAATCGAAGGGATTATTTTTATTATTATTAACACTATGAAATCCGTAGCCACTCAAAGTGCACACACGAACAAATTATCAAGTAAGCAAATCAAATCAGTTACTTGATAATTGATCAAGTCAAGAGAGTTTGAGTGATCACCAATCACTATACTGATATTTGTTATCCTTATATTATAAATGGATATATATCTTCATCTGGTAACATCATCCCGGTCAGAATATTCACAAAAAAAAACGAAGTCCGAGGGTTAGGGTGAAAAACAAACTTTTTCATATTTTCGTCAATTTCGATCAAAAACTTTCCAACTTCTTCAAATTCTTTTTATCAAATTTTAGTTTCCAAAATAAATTTGCAAGTTCGGATGTTTTCGAAATTTATATTCCACCACACGATCAAAGAAAAAATTACATCTCTCGGCAATTATTTAAATAATAATAAATAAAATAAATAATTCATTCGAAACATTACTTGCAACTGCTCTTAATCCAAAATTTGCAAGAACAAAACTAATTTATCATTAATCAAGTTATCAACCAAGCACCAAGAGTACAAACTCTATCGTGTAGCCTGCACCTGAGCATGTTCCATGAGCTGGCTGACTAATTTATAAGTGCGGCCAGAAAGTGCTTTAGTGTGGTCGATAAGCTGTTCGTACCTGATAAGGGGGGCAGAGAAGTTCGTTCACAAATTGAGAAAAATCAAAATAAAGTAAAATTAAGGATTGGCAATTATAATGTGAAAATTTAATTTATCGAGAAAACTTACACATTGGTGTGATTAGGTTCCATCATAATCGTTCCCGTTTTCGTGTCAAGCTTAGCTTCAAGCTTTGAGGTCCTTATAAGATTCACTATCCATCTTTCTGCCTCCTCATATTCCAGATTAAGTTTCTCAGCAAGCACACTGTCAAGAAAGATCCCATATACTAAATTTTAGTAGTGTAATATGAAGTAAAATTTCTAAAATTGATGTCATAAAGCGTGACACTAAATTTCAGGCATATACCTCATGTCAATGCGCTGATGAATACGGCAGTAGGTCTCAAAGATGAAAAGGCGAGCATTTTCAAGGAACTCGTCTCTTAATGGTACGCCGGAAAAATTTCCTTCTTCTACTCTCTTTCCAAGAAATGGGTCATTCAAGATTACCTACATGGATAAAAAAGGGATTTAGAAGATCCATAAACAAAGGCACAAAAAATTAAACACCTCTTCAACATATTCACTTAACAAGAGTAGATCACAAAAACCTATCCCCGAGGTTTGTCTTATCTACAGAAACTATCTTTCTTAACTTATAAATTACTAATACACCCCTGATTTTTGTCTCTATTTTAAAAGATATGCATCATTTTTCATCAACCGTATCAACAACTATGAGAATCTGGAAGTCGCAAAAGTTGGATAAACGCCATGCAGATATATACAATCACCGATGCAATCTTTAAGCGTATTCCCAAATCAGACGGAAAGATAAATTACACAGAGTACATTATCCCAATATTATGAATTTAGGAGTAAATGTGAGTGAGGAACCATTTGGAGTTAGAACTTACTTCTTCGCACTCTTTCATCTTTTCATGAGCCCCATCGAAGTCATAGTTGACATATACACATGCCAAAAACTCAGTAATGGGATCTTTGCAAGAGTACTGCTCTTGCTGAATCACCTTCATAAATTCCTTAAACTGAGGCCGCCTCCTTTTGTTGACGATGAATGCAGTAGCCAGATAACGTAAAAGATGGGGAGCATTTGTTTGAATGGCATTCAGATACCTGAAAGTTATTCCACCATTAAAAATACGCTAAAAAAACTACTTGTTAATTTAAAAGAGGATATAATTGTAGTTAACCAACAAATCATCTATTATATCATCACTAGAGTAAATGAAGAAACGAGTAAAGAATAAATCAATAAGAAAGTCATACTTTTCCTGGTTAAATAAGTCAATGATCTGATTTCTTCCATTGTCGTGATTGAAGAAGATGAACAAACTCCAATGCATCAGCCATATTCTACTTTGGACTTGATTCATAGGAGAAGAGAAACTCTGTACAGCATTTTCATTATTCGTTTAATACAATTCATGTTAGGAATTAAAAAACGGTAATAGTAAACTAAATGGGAGCCCGGAGCAACCTTTGAGTCAATAATTTCCTTCAAGCGGTTAAGCTCCTCTAACGCAATGTCCCAATTTTGCATCAATATCTCTGCTGCTAGTTTTCCCCATAATGCACTCAAACTTCTTTCACTGTTGGTGGACAAAGCTCTGTACTGATACAAATAATCAGCAGCACCCGAGTAGTTTCCACATTCAAACTGGAATTTGGCATATTGGTACAATGCTTCTATCTGTTCTGAACCAATCTGGTCAATAACATCATACAATTTTAATCAGTTAAATAATTTGACATAAGAGATCTTGAGTCAAGATTTCAGCGTTCAAGAAAAAGATACCGAAATTACAAGCCTATAATCATCATAAATGGTATTCATTAAAATGTAAAAAAGGCAAAAAAATTCAACCATTTTAATTTTTTTCTGTAAATACAACTTGCAAGTAAATCACGATATAGAAGTGTGATATGTCCACCGCCCTTAATCAACTTTACATCTTGTGTAAATTAGCCTCGTGTTCAAACAATAAAAGATAAGCACGCTGATATATGCATAAATAATCGGAAATTGAAAATATTCACAATTCAAGCAAACAAACCTGATAGCGATCATTGAGCATCTGAAGATTATACTGTTTGTCAGCCCTCAATTCCTGAACTGCACTAGAATCCTGCAGAAAGGTAACCAAAGGAGCTGCTCCTTCTTCCAATGCCTTAAGCCTACCTACCACCTCGGATCTCCGCTCCACCATTTCTAAGAAAACAGAAATTCCAAGAACAACTTAGAGGATTGAAAAAAAACCCGAATCCTACCGTCTAAATTCAAACCTAAATAACTAGAGGATTGAAAAGAAAAAAATCCAAAGCTAGAAAAACAATAGAAATTAATAGATCTGCTACTCCACAATAACAAAATACCCAAAGAACTCAAATAAACATAACCAAACATATTCGAAACAATCTACAATAGAAATTTACATTAGCTCCCATCTAAAATTTGAAAATAACGTTCCAGAACTCCCCTGATTTATTCTAACTGTGCACTTAGGTGATATGTCAGCTCTCCACAACTATATAAACCATAAGCAACGACAAGAAAAACAGGCAAACAGTATGGCACCACATTAAAAACATAATAATAATTCTCGTGAAAACCAAAATTCTATACTACAGTTCATCAAGTACCTTGCGGAACGTCGTCGGATCGGTAGAGTGATTTGTGAATGTCCATTGCATAATCGACCATGTTTGTATGGTTAAGCAAGTCAATTTTCGCCTTCAAAATATCCTCCTCGGGGTACATTCCTCTCTCCTGCAAAAATTCGAGAAGTGGGAACACTAGATGACGATCCAGCTGCGGGCCTATACGCTGCGTCAAGTCGTATTTTGACGCCATTGCCTCTTTTTTCTGAAGAATTTGAGATTGGCTGCTCTCGCCGGAGCAGGGCGACGGCGGCGGACCGGCGGGCTTTAGTGGCGGAAGAACGTTGCCGCTAGTAGATTTGGGTGTTGGGGCTTCTTCAGCTATGTTTCTTTAGTTTAGTTTTATTGCATCTAAGCCACCAATGTTCAGAAAATTAGAAATAATAACATATTCAGGGGCTAATTGTAATTTTCACCCCCAATAATATACATTTGCAATTTGCACCCTATAATTTCAAATTTGACAATATTCGCCCGCAGATTATATAATATATGCTTCCTATTGTTGTAAGATATTAACCATAAAGTTAATATGTCATGAAATTACTTTTCTTTTAGTGGTCATTTTTTTCATTTTCCTACTTAATTGAATTAGTTTTCTTTTATTAAGAAAAAAATAAATAAAAGCTAATAATTTTGATTTTTCTATTTTTCGAATCCAAGTAAAATTATTTACAAAATTTCCATAAAATATATATTTTATTTACAAAATTCCAAATATTTATTTAGGTTTCACTATTTTATAATCAAAAATTCAAAATTGTAAGTCATTTTTTATTTAAAAATAAATAAAAAAATATAAGCAAGCCCAAAGTCTTCTCAAGCCCAATATTATTGGTCTAGACGATGGAAAAGCCCAATTTCTTTAGGCCCAACTACTTTAAATTATGGGCCAAGCACATAATCTTGAGTATAAATATTAAATACTAAAATATCGTAATTTTTTCAATGAAAAAAGCATTTTTTTTTAAAGGTGAAAAATGATCTTCAATTTGATTCTTGATTTTTTTTTTAAATAAATAAAGATAATATATTTACACAATTTTGAACCAATCACAAAAGATTTTCGAACTAATCAAACATCAAATAAAATACACTTATTACTTATATTTTATTTTTTTGATCTTATAAGGTATGTTAAGAATTACATAAATAAATAACGAGATGTTCTGGTCATTTATGGTCAACGGTCAAAGAAAATTTGTTGTGTCCGCAATTTTCGGAGTATTTATATAATTCTATCTTGTTATTTATTTTGATATATATATATATATATATATATATATATATATATATATATATATATATATATATATATGCAAAGCTGATATTTCTCCATTAATTAATATCATTATTCAAAACATATATACATATTTTCCATCGCCGGAAAACACAGCCACCACCGCCGCCACCTCCACGACACCCACCCACGGCGGCCCTTGACGTAATTCGGTCAATCAAATCATGGGCCGCATGCACATTTCCACCTTCTCCATGCAAATTCTCCTTTTCGCCTCCGTTTTCGCGGTCATAAATGCTAGCGACGATCATCGTATGGAAGTCGGTAAGACATCCAATTTAATTAATTAATCCCTCTAAAAAAATTGCCAAAAATTCAATTTATCGATCATCTTAATTATCAATATGCATATATATGCAGAGGACGAACATCCGTTTACGTATGTGGGAGAAAGCGAAAAAGGACCGAAAAAATGGGGGCAACTAAACCCAGAATGGCAAATATGTGAAAACGGAAAACGACAGTCTCCGATTAATCTTGTGCACGCGAAATCTTCACCTTCGCCGAGCTTGGGGAAGTTGAAGAAAACATACAAACCAGCCCATGCTGTAATAAAAAACAGGGGACATGATATCATGGTATTATAATTTTTTATATATTTAAAATAAATAAATAAAATATATATAAAACAAAAAAAAAATTGTTGAATATAGCTAAATTACTAAAGATATATTTTTAAAAAAATTATATTATGATCAGGTTGCATGGAGAGGAGATGCAGGGGGTGTCGTAATAAACGGGACCGAGTACAAATTAGTACAATGCCATTGGCATACTCCGTCGGAGCATCGTGTTAACGGCCGAAGGTTGTAATATTAATTAATTAATTAATTAATTAATTAATTATTGTTTATGAATGATGTGTAATAAAATTATTAGTGTTGTTTTTTTGCAGCTTGAATATGGAGTTTCATATGGTTCATAACAACTCACAGGGGCATATTGCTGTCGTAGGCATCTTGTATACATTGGGTCGCCCCGACACGTTTCTCGAGAAGGTCAGTTTGTCTCGTATATCGATCACCTAATAAATTATATATATTTTCTTATTACTAACAATATAATTGATTAAAATTGTATTCGATCAGTTTCTAGAACATATTACATCATTGGTTGGAGAGGAAGGAATCGATCTAGGTATCGTTAGCCCCCGGGATATCAAATTCGGGAGCAGAAAGTATTTCCGATACATGGGTTCTCTCACCGTTCCACCCTGCACCGAGGGTGTTATTTGGACTATCATCGACAAGGTGACAACGACACGATTTTCTTTCTTTTTTTTTATTTATTTGTAATTTATATAAATTATTTTATTTTTTTTGCAAATGTTCGATTTTTTTATTTTTTATTTTGTAGGTGAGGACGGTGTCGAGGGAGCAAATTAGAGCATTGAGGAATGCTGTTCATGATGTAAGTGACGACGGCATAAAATTCTTGAATCGCTTACGTACTTAAACGATTTACATTTTTTTCGGGTACGATGAAAATATACGAGAGTCGATATTTATTTACTGAAGCTAGTTATTATATATTGTTGCAGGGTTTTGAGGAGAATGCAAGGCCACCTCAGCCATGGGGTGGAAGAAACATATACCTATATGGCCCGGCCCGAATTAAGTGAATATATATGGTGAAGAATTGGAGATGAATTAAGTGAATGATATATGTGTGTGTGTATATATAATTATATTAATTATATATATGTAAAATAATTTGTATAATATATATATAAACTAAATATATATACCAATTGGCAACTAATTTCCAGCACAAAAGCTGATGTACTATGGTGATTGCCATAGAATACAAAGACATGCAAATCAATGTGTATATATTTCTTTTAGTTTAATATTTTTTTAATTGCAATTACACTAAGAATTAAATAAATTAATAACCCCGCTTAAATAATATTTACTTTTGTTACCGACTTGGTAAAAACGAACTAAATTATTAGTTCGTTAATTTAATATTTTACTGAATTAATAGATTTTTGCTACTATCTAACTACAATATTAATTTATAGATGTTTAATTTTATATATGTTTAAAAGGCACAAAACACAATTAGGCCACTTGCACCATGAGATTATTATGGGCTATTATTAAGGACTTATCTGCATATTATCTACAATAAATGCTTCAGTGGGACAGCTTAATTATTTGTCCTAAAATGCTTAAAATCAAATTAAAACCCATAAAAGTAGAATCAAAATATTTACCAGAATTAAGTTTGTATTTCTTTTCTTTCAAAATCGATCTATGCTTTTGAAATTGATTATCAATAACAATATGGTAAATTACAAACACCCACTGAGGTATGGTCAATTTACAAAAAAACTCCCTCTTATTTGGATAATTATATGGTGTCAAATTCAACATAATTATATAGATTTCGTGGAATGTGCTATAGTTTGTACTCGTTTTGGTAAAAATACAGTTTCTGATGCACCACAATCTTATATATACAAGCCAAAAAACACATATTATGATCATCTTGCTTCAAAATGTAGAGTTATCGAATGGGATAAAATGAGTACAAAAGTGATAATATTCCATATAATCTCGAAAATTCCGCTAAATTTGAGGGGTTGAGGAGTGGTTGTAATTATCCAAACAATAGAGGTTTTTTCGTAATTTGACCATACCTCAGAGGTGGTTGTAATTTACCCATAATAATAATAATATTACCCCTAATAATAATAATAATGATGATGATAAACTAATTTAAGTAAACTAATTAATAATATAATTCTAATTTTATACCCATATATTTCATCTGTCTCCAAACATTTCAAAATATTAATATTTAAAAAAAATTCAAAATTAAAATACTCTTAATCTTATCTTAAATTAAAAAAAAGTACAAATACAAAATCATAATTATTTTGTTGGGTATTTCCAATTGTACCCTGTCCAGAAAGTATTGTACAATTACTTCTGGAACGGAGGAAAAAGCTCAGCAGAAGAGATACTGTAAGAAAGGCTCACTGTAGCAAGGGGCGCACGTTAACCTAACCCCTTCGCACGGCTCAAGTTAGCGAAGACCAATGCACAACTCCACCTATGTCCCCGCTCCATCTCTTCTTCCCCTTATCTCTCCCCCACCCGTCACACTTCTCTCTCTCTCTAGGGTTAGGGCTCATTCCGCATCTTCTCCACCGCCTCTTTTCCGCCCACCCTACCGTAAAAACTTCTCCTTTTAAAAATTCGTCGCCCCCAAATGCCCGTCGCTGAATTCTGGTTCCATCGATGTGCTATCAGTAACAGAGCTTATGGACTCCAAGCGGAAGTACTCTTACGCGAATCTTTTCAATCTTGAGGTACGGGAGAATCTGTCTGTTCTTTGCAATTGATGTGTGCGGGGGTTTCTTTTGCTTGCTGCGATCTTGTTTCATGTGGAGTTGGGGAATTTTGTGTAGAAAATTAGGGTTTTATTGATTTTGAAGTGTTGCTTTGGCGTGGGATAGTGTTAATTAGGGCATAGGCATTTTAGATACATTGGTTTATCTTTTGATGAATTGAGTTTATTATGCCTGGTATTGATTTTTGGGTTTTTTTGTTAGCCTTTGATGAACTTTCAACTGCCGAAACAAGATGAAGATTTTGATTATTATGCAAATAGTAGTCAGGATGAGAGCAGAGGTAGCCAAGGTAGGCAACTTGGTTTACTAGAAATTTTATGTTTGCCTGTTGTTGTTGAATTTGGACATGTATTCGTATAATCACTGTAGGAGTATACATAATACATGCATGGGCTACCGTTATGTACTTCAGCTGTAAAAGTTACTGAATATATTCTCGACTTATTTTTGTTGCAGGGGATCATATGAATGGAATAATGGCAGAGAGGGGGTTTAAGAAGAAGAGACGAGGTGCTTACAGTAGCGAAGAAGAAGAAACTGGTAGTTATAGTCCATATATTTCGGAGGAAAGATATCGAGCAATGCTGGGAGATCATATTCAGAAGTATAAGAGGAGGCAGAATTACACTTCTCAAAGTCCTGCTCCGACAAGAACTGGGACAACGACGATGAAAAACAGTGTAGTTCTGAAAGATCACAAACTAACGAATGATAACAGAGGATTGCTGCACAAGTTTGAATCCACGTCAGATTATCCCAACAATAGTAATTCCCAGAAATTTGGAGGTTATCCGGAACCAGATCTTGGGTTGCAATATGGTGCTTCCAGGTTTGCGTCTCTCCACTGTTTTCATCATTTAGAGGCAATGTTATTATTATTGATTAAATAAATTTATATCATATGCATGAAGTATTTTGCCGTTTTAACTTAGTGCACTTCAGAGCTTTAGAATTTTAAGTTTATTACTGGTTTTAATTTTTGCCAACTATATAATGCTAGTTATGATTGTTCATAGTGCACTTGCTTCTTTTCAAATGCCTGACGATGTTAGCTTTGTAGTGGAGTATCGTCTTAATCACTACAAACTAGGTGGAATTGTTGTTATTAGAATAAGCAAAAGGTCACCCTTTAAATAGTTGTGTAATTTAAGTATTGTAGAAATATGTCAGAAGTTATGTCGCATGTTTTTGTCAAGATATATGGAAAAGCAAAGAAGCTCCCCCTTATATTTAGGCTGACAAATAACAAGAAAATAGTTTGTCTAAAGGACACACACTCAAGCACCACGTTAAGAGAGGCTCCGATACCACTAGGCCAAGTCTTAGTTGGTATTATTTAGCATAGAGTAGATGGGCTGTTTGTTCATGATGCAAGTTGTATCTATAATACTGATTTTTTGGTGCATTGGTCAAAATTTTCAGACCAAATCTTGAACCTGCATATCTGGATATTGGGGATGGCATCACTTATAGGATTCCTCTTCCATACGAAAAGCTCTCATCATCCCTCAATTTGCCAAGTATGTCTGATATCCGGGTGGAGGAATTTTACCTAAAGGGTACCCTTGATTTGGGGTCATTAGCTGCGATGATGGCTTCTGATAACTGGTTTCAGCAGAGAATTAGTTCAGGGATGGGTGACTCCAAGCCCCAGTATGAATCACTTCAGGATAAACTGAAAGACCAGCAGATCAATAACTCTGCTGAAAACTTTTGCCTTCAAATAAGTGAAGCTGCACTGCAATCCAATGGCATCCCAGAAGGGGCAGCTGGAGGGATTAGGCGATCCATTTTGTCGGACGGTGGTATTTTGCAGGTTTTTTATGTGAAAGTTTTGGAGAAAGGGGATACCTACGAGGTCAGAAATAATTCATTCTATACTAATACCTATGTATAGTTGATCTGATTGTTAATCATGTGGGTTTAATATGTGGTGTTACAGATTATTGAGCGCAGTTTACCCAAAAAGCCAAAGGTGAAGAAAGACCCTTCTGTTATTGAGAGGGAAGAAATGGAAAAGATAAGTAAACATTGGGTTAATATAGCAAGGAAAGATATTCCGAAACAACACAGAATTTTCATCAATTTCCACAAAAAGCAATTAACCGACGCAAAAAGGATCTCCGATACCTGTCAAAGAGAGGTTTGTGCTGTTGTGATGAATCCACACTTTTCTTGTGCTCCAGTTTTACACCATGAAAAATGCTCTAACCTTGTTTATTTTTCAGGTAAAAATGAAGGTTAGCAGATCCCTTAAATTGATGAGGGGTGCTGCATTTCGGACAAGGAAACTAGCTAGAGACATGCTAGTATTTTGGAAGAGAGTTGACAAGGAGATGGTACATATTTTATTGTTTTCTTTACTGTATTCAGGTTAAGAAAACGTTGATCATCAACTCTTTTAAAAGACTTCGTTAGACAAACATTATTACTGAGATGAAAATATTCCTCAAATTTGGATTTTTCTTTATGATTGTAGTAAACATTTGTTGAGTGGTGGCATTTGATTCCATATGGTTTCTACTTTGTCGAACATTTTACCTACATAATTCTTATATGTGAAGGCGGAAGTGAGGAAAAGAGAGGAAAAAGAAGCTGCAGAAGCTCTAAAACGAGAACAGGAACTTCGTGAAGCAAAGAGGCAACAACAAAGGCTCAACTTTCTGCTGTCACAGACAGAGCTTTATAGTCATTTCATGCAGAATAAGACCTCACAGCCCTCTGAATTGGGTGAAGAAAAATCTGGTGACCTAGAAATGGCTTCAGAAGCTCAGCAGGAGGAAGAGGACCCCGAAGATGCTGAACTGAGAAGGGAAGCTCTGAGAGCTGCCCATGATGCAGTTTCGAAGCAAAAAATGATTACAAATGCATTTGATAATGACTGCTTAAAGTTTCGGTTAGCTGCAGACGCTGAGGCCCCTCTTCAAGATGAGTCTAGCAACATTGATTTGCTTCATCCGTGCGTACCCCCTTCTCTCTACAATATCTCCACCTCCCAAATTTTAGTTGTATAAATAGCTATACTCTAACCCATTGTATATGATGCTCTCAGATCAACCATGCCCGTGGCATCGACAGTGCAAACACCCGAGTTGTTCAAGGGTTCCCTGAAAGAATATCAGTTAAAAGGCCTACAGTGGCTTGTTAATTGTTATGAGCAGGTAACAAAATTTTCTGAGTGTCTACCCCATTTTTAGAAGACTGGTTAGATGACTTTTTAACGCACGTAACTTTTTAGGGCTTAAATGGTATTCTTGCTGATGAGATGGGACTTGGAAAGACAATTCAAGCCATGGCATTCTTGGCTCATTTGGCCGAGGTAATTAATTGATTAATTAATCAGTGGTTTGAATTTTGGAACTATTAGCCCTTCTTTTACTTTACTGTTTGTACTTTACAGGAGAAGAATATATGGGGGCCTTTTTTGGTTGTTGCTCCTGCTTCTGTCTTGAATAACTGGGCTGATGAAATCAGTCGTTTCTGCCCTGACTTGAAGACTCTTCCATATTGGGGTGGTCTTCAGGAGCGTACGATACTTAGGAAGAACATTAATCCTAAGCGTCTCTATCGAAGGTGATTTATCGTTTCTATCATCCTTAAACTTTATTTATCTGCTAATCAGTGTGATGAATCGGCCGATTCTTGTATGACTTTTCCAATTTTACATGTCACAGAAACTGGTTCATTTTATTTCAATAGTAAGGTGTAACTGACTAACTGGTATTAGTAACCGTGTGTAGCATGACATTTTGTATGTTAATAAGAAATATGTTGATACTCACAGCTACATCAAATGATACTGTCTGAAGTGATGTCCAGTTAAAAATATTGACTTCTTAACAGTGGTCTAGTGTATCATTCAAGCATACCAATTCCTCCTTTTTTGCTTCTACTGACAATACTCGAATTAACATGTCAGGGAGGCTGGATTTCACATTCTCATTACCAGTTACCAGCTGCTAGTGTCTGATGAGAAGTACTTTCGTCGTGTAAAATGGCAATACATGGTGTTGGATGAAGCTCAGGCAATTAAAAGTTCTAACAGGTTTGGCCACTCATATTTTTTTAGTTTTTTTTCCATGTAAAACACTACAAATCACGAGTTTATCTAGAAAGTGAATCGTACCGAGTATCTTTTTCTGGTGTTAACGTGTGACAAAATTACTTGTTGTATATGAGTATATGTATTGATCTAAATGTACCTCTAATACCAATGTTGGATGTTGAGATGGCAGTATAAGATGGAAGACACTGCTCAGTTTCAATTGTCGGAACCGCTTGCTTCTGACTGGTACTCCAATTCAAAATAACATGGCTGAACTGTGGGCGCTCCTACATTTCATTATGCCAACTTTATTTGATAGTCATGAACAATTCAATGAGTGGTTTTCAAAAGGGTATGTCTCTTCCCTAGGTTCTAACTCTCTCCAAGCTTCAAACGTTATTTTCCTCACAATTCTTCTTGGCTATAACAGAATCGAGAGTCATGCAGAGCACGGTGGGACGTTAAACGAGCACCAGCTTAATCGATTGGTGAGAACTGTCATTAGTTTACTTTCTATAGCCTTTGAGTGCATGTTGTGAGTCTGCAATCAGTTGTGTTACACGTAGTTAGGTGGTATTAGATCCTGATTTTCTTTTGCTTCTGACTCTCTCTTTCTCCAACTTCTGAAAACAGCATGCAATTCTGAAACCTTTTATGCTGCGGCGGGTTAAGAAAGATGTGGTCTCTGAGCTGACAGGAAAAACCGAGGTTATGGTGCACTGTAAACTAAGTTCTCGGCAGCATGCTTTCTATCAAGCTATAAAGAACAAGATATCCCTTTCTGAGTTGTTTGATGGAAATCGTGGACATCTTAATGAGAAAAAAATTCTGAATCTGATGAACATCGTCATTCAGCTGAGGAAGGTGAGCTGTCGATTGAATTCTATATTACTTTGGAAGTTCTGTTACCATTATTTTAGCTTTAAATTAACAATATAACTAATGTGTTTTTATTCTGCACTTTAGGTGTGCAATCATCCAGAATTATTTGAGAGAAATGAGGGAAGCTCATATTTCCATTTCGGGGAGATTCAAAATTCTCTTCTCCCTGCTCCATTTGGTGAACTAGAAGAGGTTTTCTGTTCTGGCAGTAGAAATCCTATCGTGTATGAGGTAATTTGAAGAGATGCTCAGCCTTTAGTTTTTACTATATTCTCCTGCCCGTGTAACATTTTATTCTTGCACCGGACAGCATTTTAAGTGTAATGTGTACATGGGCAAAAATTTGCTGTTATGATTTGTGTAACTCTGCCGGTTTTTTCTTTAGTTTCTTTTTATTGTTGATGAATATAGTATCATGTACTATATGTCGGTGCTGAACATTTTTTGTTTTCAAACTCAACTAGATACCCAAACTGGTCTACCAAGAAGTTGTTGACGGTCCCAACATTCAAATTTCAGAAGCTGGTCAAAGGTTAAGTCGAGAGTCATTCGAGAAGCATTTTAACATATTCTCTCCAGAAAATATATTTCATTCCACACTCCAACAAAGTGGAACATTTGGATTCGCCCGCTTTGTCGATTTATCACCAGCCGAGGTATCGTTCGTGGCAACTAGTTCATTCATGGAGAGATTATTGTTCTCGGTTATGAGATCGGAGGAAATGTTCGACCTTTTGACGGAGAGCAGTGATGACGACATCGAATGTGCTCGTATTGGAAAGGAAAAAGTACGAGCAGTAACACGAATGTTGCTATTACCAAGTAAATCAGAGACCGATTTACTTAGAAGAAAGCTTGCAACAGGTCCTTCGGATGCTCCATTCGAGGCTCTAATCGTACCTCATCAAGATAGGCTTCTATGCGATGTCAAGCTTGTGCATTCAGTGTACTCTTTCATTCCAAGAACTAGAGCACCTCCAGTATGTGTTATATGTTTATTTCACATGATTTTTCTTTTGCTGTTAATGACTTTTATGGGGTTTATTGCAATTAGTGACCCTGTGTTATATCGAATTGCTAAAATAAATCCCTACGATTCAATTTTTTTTAGCACACCACCCCCTAAACAGGGGTACTAATTGCTAAAAAAAATTAAATCGTTGGGGGTTTTTGCCAATAAAATAACTGGGGTACTAAATGCAATGAACTCGACTTTTATGTGTACTAAAGTCTTGTTTGGGGATTCTGTATTGGGCTATCAGATAAATGCGCATTGCTCAGATAGAAATTTTGCGTACAAGATGAATGAAGAGTGGCATAACCCTTGGCTTAAGAGGATGTTGATTGGATTTGCACGTACATCTGATTGTAACGGCCCCAATAAGCCCATTCGCCCTCACAAATTAATACAAGAAATCGACGCTGAATTACCTGTTTCAAAACCTGCTCTTCAACTTACCTATGAGATATTCGGATCTTGTCCACCTATGCAACCGTTTGACCCTGCAAAGATGCTCACGGTCTGTTCTGCTTCTCTGTAACCCTCTGCTTTTTAATGGTTCCATTATAGTGCATCTTTGTGAATTTTTTTTTTCGGTTTTTTTTCCTCCAGGATTCTGGGAAGCTTCAAACCCTTGATATACTGCTAAAACGTCTACGAGCAGGAAATCACCGTGTTCTTCTTTTTGCTCAGATGACAAAAATGCTTAATATCATTGAGGTAAGTTTTTTCTAGTCACGGTGGCAAATTTCAAAGCCAACCCCTTCAATTTAATTCATCCACTTAAAATGCAACCTTATCATTTGCTTTCCAGGATTATATGAATTATAGGAAATACCGATACTTGAGGCTTGACGGGTCATCCACGATAATGGACCGTCGAGACATGGTGAAAGATTTCCAGCACAGGTACGCGATTGGTTAATTTTTTGCCGATTTTTATTTCTTTCAATATGGAATCTTTCTGAGTGTCGAATTATGCTCAGGAGCGATATTTTTGTGTTCTTGCTGAGCACAAGAGCTGGTGGGCTTGGAATCAACTTGACAGCTGCAGACACTGTCATATTTTACGAAAGTGATTGGAATCCAACTTTGGATTTACAGGCCATGGATAGAGCTCATCGTCTCGGTCAAACTAAGGATGTCAGTTTTTTTTTTAATAAATTTAAATTCCAAGTGGCTTTGGGTTTTGATCTTTATAATGCATGCACTAATATGTTTCTTTTCATCACAACAGGTAACTGTGTACCGCCTAATATGTAGAGAGACGGTTGAGGAAAAGATTCTGCAGAGAGCCAATCAGAAGAACACAGTTCAGCAGCTTGTAATGACAGGTGGCCATGTTCAGGGTGATCTTTTGGCTCCTGAAGATGTTGTATCATTATTAATCGACGATGCTCAATTGGACCAGAAACTCAAACAAGTTTCGCAACAGGTCTTTATTTCATGTTCTAATTCACATCATTAATAAATACCAAATGGTTTTATTCTTGAAAAAAACGCAATCAAAGATCTTGACGTTATTTTATCTGCTAAACAGGCTAAAGATAGACAGAAGAAGAAAGGTGGCGCCAAAGGCATACGTATTGACTCAGAAGGCGGTGCTTCTTTGGAGGATCTTGCAAACATCGAATTGCAGGATAATAATGAATCTGAGCTGCCCGATCCCGACAAATCAAAGTTCAGCAGCAAAAAGGTGATAAATCTCTGTCCGCCTATGAATTTTCTGATTCGACTAAACATCTTTGTTAGCGATTTCGGAAAACTTCCATTTTATTCGAAAGTGAAAAATAATTCCAATTCCGTTCCAAAGAAAATCGTAAAATTCGGAATCTCAGAAAATTGGAATGAAAAAACTTGTTCCGAAATCGAAAAATTTCAGATCAAAATTGCCGGGATTCGGGATTTCCAATGTCTTCTTCACCTATAATGTCAAATGCATAACAATATTGATATTATAAGTGTAATTTTCGGCAAAAATTAAAATTTTCGGAAAATAAATCGGATCGGAATTCGGAATCTAATAAGTATTCCAATTTCATTCAAAAAAAAAAAAACGGGCACAAGAAATTGGAACTTCTGGAATTCAGTATGAAAATTATTGTTCCAAAATCGGAAATATTCAGATCAGAATCGAGGAATTTGTGCTCTCGTAACTTTAGGATTAAATGAAATCATTTTTTTTCGATTTTCGTTTATTGACCTCTATTCTTATGTGTAACTATTGCCACAGAGGAAAGCTGCTACAGAAAAGTCAACGCAGTCAAAACCGAGGCCACAAAAGGGTTCTAAACAGTTGTCTCCAAAACCGACAACAACAATGGACTACGAAATCGACGAGCCCCCACAGAACACCGACACACAAAGACCAAAGAGGTTGAAAAGACCGACAAAGAGTGTAAACGAGAATATAGAACCGGCATTCACAGCTGCTACTACTGCTAATGTATTTCATCAGAGCTCTGAAAATTTAGCTGCTGAATAAAAACAGCTGGATTGGATTGAAAAAGCTTTGGAAAAGAGTAGCTGCTCAAAAAGACTGTACTATATATGCTAATGTATTGGACAGTGGGCTTAACTTGTAGTACCTTGGAACTGAGGTTTATACTGTGCTGTGCCATAATGGGTGAAAAAAAAAATAGAGGGGAATTTTGTATAGTAGTGTTGTACAGATTTATTTTTTTAGGATTTTACTATTGCCAGTTTTTTTTTCTGGTTTTACTCTTATGTAAGAGAAAAATAGTTGGAATGTATAGCTGGATAATTATTAATTATACTTATTTCCCCATTATCTTTAACCCAATTATCAATTTTAAGAATGTGAAATGTTTAATTTGATATTTAATTTTTTAACGAAAAACTAATTTTGCACAATTGAATATTTAATTAATATGTTTTAATTGTAAATTATAACAAATGATATTCATATATTTGTTTTAATTACAGTTTTGGTCCTCCAAGGTTGAACGCATTTCACCTTTGATCCCCTATTGTCAAATGGAAAGGGAAAACTATTTTCTGAAAATAAAAAATAGAAAGAAAAAATACAGCGGTGCACAGGACTTAATGTAGGTTGCGTCACACACGATCAACGGCGTCAAAAACTTTTCAAATTAGGGCTTTTAAGCTCCAAAACCCCTCCAATTTTTGTTTACTCACACTGCGTATACTGTAAGCGTTACACTGATATTTTCTCTGCACTCTGTTAATCAGAGTGCGTGTACTGCGTGTTTCTTCGTTTTTATCGCAATGGCGAACGATGCGGATATGAGTGGTTGGACCGATCTTCTGCATTCCTCTTCGAAGCTTATCGAACAAGCTGCTCCTTCAGCTCAGTTTCCGCCGCTTCAGGTTTCCGTTCGCCATTCGCCTGAATTCTCTGTCCGATAATATGCTTTGTTTTCGGTTTCATAATTTGGTTAATTTGAATTGTATTTGGCGTTGTTATGGTGGAAACAGAGGAATTTGGATCAGTTGGAGGCTCTGTCGAAGAAGCTCAAGGCAAAAACCCTGCGAGCCGAAGCTCCTTCCCAATCTATTGCGGCGACTAGGTAGTTATCTTTCTTCTTCTCCTGAATCTTATTTACATGTGTCATGTGTGTTTATATTGCGTTGCTCGATTTTGTATTATTCCTGGTTTTCCAGTTGAAATATCTTGTTGTTACTTTATGTTCTGTACATTTCATGTTTTAGCTTTGAAAATTGATAAAGAAGAGCAGAGTCGATGAAATTAGGAAGTTCCAGGCATTATCATTCAATATCAGCTTTGACACCTTTTTCTTTTAATGTCGCTCAGTTCTAGGAAGGAAAAATTTACATATGCAGTTAAATGCATCTCTCGGATATAGTTCATAGACACATAGTACTTACTATGTGTTGTTGGGGGTGGGGTGGGGGGGTTACGCCGTATAGATGGCGTTGTACCATCAAACGGGTTGCTGATGATACTGTTTGATAGTTTTTTGTTTTACATTTATTTTTTAATAATATCTGAAATAAAGTGTTCTTCAATCGGCAGGCTATTAGCTCGAGAGGGGCTAAATGCAGAGCAGCTTGCTCGTGATCTCAAGTCATTTGAGCTAAAGGTAAAAATAAATTTTCATTTCTAATCACTTTTTCCAGAATGTTATGAATGAGTGAAAATTTTCATTCTGGCAGTTGATCACTAAACTACTCAAACTTCCAAAAATTCGTTGTGTTTGAATATGTCATTTATTATTTGATCTACTAATTTGATGTCCTTTTCTAAATTTATCTAAGATGTTTAAACTAACATAACTGGCTCTTTTTTTCTCTTTTATTTGTTTGTGTTTGGTCGTACTTCCTCTCAAAGACAACATTCGAAGATGTCTTTCCAGCGGAGGCGACGACAGTCGAAGAGTATCTTCAGCAGGTATTCCTCCTTTTAAAAGATTAGGCATAGTTTATACCTTACATGATAAAATAATGAAAGAAGTAAGGTTTTTCGCTGAATTTTATTTTCAATGTGTATGCCATTGCTGCAACCAGGTCCATGAAATGACAATGCTCTCAGCTGTTCAGGAAGCTCAGAAGGATAATCTTAGAAGTTTCAATGATTATATGATGTCAGTTCTGGAGGTGAGTATCTTTATTCTTTATCATGGTTATAATTCTCAGCTGTATCTCATGTTGGTAATATGTTATTCCGCCCTCTATTGTTTTCTAATCTCATTTCCATGGCAAACTTTTCTTCACAGGAGGACTGGCAGAAGGAAAAGAGGGACTTTCTTCAGAGCTTGAGCCGAATTTCGACCCTACCCAGAACTGATATTCGTGATTCTAATAGTGGGGTTAGTCGGCAGGGTCAAATAGTGCCTATGACTTCCAGAAGTGGGGTTTCATCTGCTCCATCTAGTTTGGAGCCTGCACTGTTGGCTAATAAACCTGTGATTGAAAAAAAGGCTGCCGCATATGCTGAAGTTGTGAAGAGTCTTAATGCCGCAAGAAAGAATGGCTCACCCTTCAAAGTAAGAACAACGTTGTAGTTTTACTGTACACAAATTTCTGTCAGGTCAATTTATCATTCAACAAAATATACGTGGGCTTGGTTTATCCGGATTTCTGAATTACTGAATCTGTTTTGTATGAGTTATTTGTTCAAAATGAACAGAGGAAATGGATTCCATAATTTCATGTAGTTGCTTGAACTTTGTGTAAAGTTAACTCATACCTAGCTAATTCTCTTTCTTCCAGCCTGCTGCAGCTTTCAGAAATGCGTACGAAAGTCTGAAACTCGACTCATCTGGTGCAAAATCTGTTAGCATGCTGAAAATATGGCACCTAATTATGGTACGATGCAATCATTTCTTCTATATAACCCTTACTTTCTCAGATGTTTTTTCTCATGGTTGAAAACAAGGTCATATCAGAAACTTGACACTTTTATGGTGATGCATAATGTTATTGACAGACATTAATGGGTGAGGATCCAACTGTAAAACGGAGTAGCTCCAGAAGAATGTCTTTAGTAATGGGGGCTCGGCGCCATCTGGAATGGGGACACGAAAAGTATGTGATGGATATGATTCATAGTCATCCTGCGCAGGTAAATTCATGTTATATTCTTGTTGATACTACCTTTTTGTCATCTTCATGGCGTTTGTTATACATAAGTATACATCTTTAAGGATTTTTCAATCACTGAATCTGATTGCATTGCTTGAATGTACTTTCTTTCAGTATCGGCCTCTTAATCCCTGCTTTGTTGTGAATGTAGTCCATATTATAGCCTGAAGTATATACCACAATTATTTAATGTTTAATACGGTTCATGTTCATCTGCTAATGTGTTCGTAGGCTGCTCTTGGTGGCGCTGTTGGAAATTTGCAAAAGATTCGCGCCTTCCTTCGGGTTTGTCTGACCTTACTGCATTGCAGCCAAATATATTCAAGCTCAAGTGTGTAAAACATCTTATACTCTAATTTTTCAAGGTTTGCTATAACTTTTCCTTTTGCAGATGCGTTTAAGGGACTATGGAGTTCTTGATTTTGATGTAACCGATGTCCGGCGACAACCTCCTGTAGACACCACTTGGCAGCAGGTTTGACACTATTCTTGTAATTGTTGGTCGACTGATAAATTTGGCACATGCCTCTGCTATGGCTGAGATATTTTGGTATCCTTGGTTCCTCAGTTATCAGATTAATCGTCATACTGAGTCCCGATCTCTTGTCCATATTTCAATTATATTAAACTCAATTTTTTTTATTTCATATCTGAAATGCTTCAGAGTCTTCTATGTAATGTCAAATGGTGTATGACTCTCTAGACATTCCATGTCATATTCTTAGTGGTATGCATTAGTTGAATAACAACAGAGACATAAGTAAGTAAAAAGAATGATTATCGCGACCTCTAGGTTTAATTGTTTTCGATTTGTGTGAAAACAATAGCTGGTCTATAATGCATCCCCCTTGAAGGGCTTTGCAAAATAATCCCGTCATTTTGACACTGCAATATTAGAGAAAAAAAAATTACTTTTTGCTAGGTTGTGCAGTCCAAACTAATTTTTCTCCTCTCATACTATTTTCTGTCCTCTGCTTAATAACAGATATACTTCTGCCTGAGAACTGGCTATTATGACGATGCTCTAGGAGTTGCCCGAACATCTCGCCTGTCGCAGCAATTCACTCCTCTGGTATGAATGGCATAAATGCCCCTTCCTAATAATTTTTATTTCGCTAGTCCATAAGCGTATGAGCTTCTTATCTTGCTAGCTTGCCGAATGGATTGCTACTGGAGGTATGGTATCAGCAGAGACTGCAGCTGCTGCTTCAGAAGAATGTGAGAAAATCCTACGGATGGTTGACCGGGTAGGCCGGCCTTCATATGACAAGAAAAAGTTACTCCTTCATGCCATCATATCTGGTTCCAGGAAGCTGGTAGATCGGTTACTTCGAGAATTACCTACCATCTTCAATACAATTGAGGATTTCTTATGGTTCATGTTGTCTGCTGTACGAGACAGCTCTGGTGGCTCCTCTCCTTCAGTTGTCCTGAATGGTGGAACATCACCAGTGTATAGTTTGGAAGATTTGCAGGCATATCTAAATAAGTTCGAACCATCATATTATACAAAGAACGGAAAGGACCCTTTGGTGTATCCGTATGTTTTACTTTTGAGCATCCAGTTGCTTCCGGCTGTTGTCCATTTGTCCAAAGATATGGGAGATGATGGATATAGTATTGATTCCGTGCATATATCAATCGTACTAGCCGACTATGGTGTCCTTTCAGAAGGTTCTGTGTCTGGACAAAAACTGGGAGTGATGGATGTTTTTGCTGAGACATCTAGCATTATAAGGCAGTATGGAGCAGCCTATTTGCGCCACGGTGACTTGTTAATGGCACTAGAGTATTATGCTCAAGCAGCTGCCGCTTTGGGCGGTGGTCAATTATCATGGATTGGAACAGGTAACACAGATCAGCAAAGACAGAGGACCTTGATGCTAAAGCAACTTCTCACAGAGATTCTATTATGTGACGGTGGTATATATCTTTTGCTTGGCTCAAGAGGTATTGGAGAAGAGGGTCAGTTGGGAAGATTTTTAACTGATGGCAAGACAAGACAGCAATTTCTGATTGAAGCTGCTCGACAGTGTCAGGATGCTGGTTTATATGATAAAGTAATCCCTCTTTACGCTTTTTATACTTCCGCAAATGTGAAATTGCATGCTCATTATCTAATTTTCGACTTTTCATTGATTGTGCCAAAATTGTTGTTATACACATATATTCGCCAAATGGTCTGGATAATGTGCTGTCCATATCTGTCCACGAACCCCTCTCTCTCGCATGGATTGTAGAATGTTTAATTCATATCTTCCAATGTGCAATTATTAATCTGATTTTCAGCATTACAGAGAGTATTTATTATATTAGCAGTTATATAGGTGTTGATTAACCCGCTATCTGCATGGGACCATGAACAAGCTTTATAACTATTTTTTTGTGTTGTTTGTTTCCCTGAATTTCATGTTATTGATGTCAACTTTGTTATTGCCAACTGTTTGTTCTTTTTGCAAAATATTTTCGTTTTCAGTTTTTTGTGTTTTTAAATTTGTAATTGATGTTCACCGATCTTTTGATTGATTTGAATTTTTTTCAAATTCAGTCTATAGAAATTGAGAAAAGAATTGGGGCATTTTCGGCTGCATTGGATACGATAAACAAGTGTCTATCCGAAGCAATATGTGCCCTATCACGTGGTAGACTGGATGGCGAAAGCACGATTACTGGGCATATACACTCTGGGAATGAGATCTTAGAGACATTCAAATACTACCCAGATATCAGGTTTTTTATTTCGAGCTTTGTTCATGTTTCACATAAATTTTCTTCTACACTTGGCAGTTTTACCATACATCAGTGAAAATATTGACCTCACTGCCTCGTTTTCAAACTTTGCTGGTTTGGCAGCAAACTTATATGTCACATGTTAGTAGAGTTATCTCCGATATAGTAGTTTGCACTTCAATTAATACTTCAAACTTCGTGTTGCTTAAGTTGATATTTGAATGACGTCTGTTACATTTTCACCATGGCTGCAACTTGCCCAGAAACTCGTTTTTGCAGCTATGCTAAAAAATGCCATTCTACCTATTAACCTTACGTTCTTTTGGACTTCTTAATCTTCGAGTTTCGAAATTTCGCCCTTTTCGTTTATTCCTAGCTATTAGTGGTTGGACTACTGAATTTTAGACTTAACTTCCTTATCGTTTTTCTCCGTAGTCCTCAAGAGAGAGCAAATGTAATGGAGCAACAAACTGTGCTAAGACAGCTCGAGGCTATCTTAGCTATCCATAGACTTGCAAAATCCGGAGCCCATTTAGACGCATTGAGGGAAATTGCAAAAGTTCCGTTTCTTCCTCTCGATCCAAGGGCAGCTGATTTTATTACAGACGTTTTCAAGAATCTATCTCCACATGTTGAAGCTTGTGTCCCATGCCTTCTCAAAGATGCTTTTAATTGTCTGGATAATGTCACAGACACCGATGGATCAATTCGTGCTTTGAGAACAAAGGTGAATATCTTTTTGTTTATTTTTAATTATTGTTGTTGTTGTTGTTGTTATTATTTTGAACCGGGATTGATATTAGTACTCTTCTGATTTTGCAGATTACCAACTTTCTTGCGAACAATTTGAATAGGAACTGGCCACGTGAATTGTACGAAAAGGCTAGTCGAAGCAGCTTCTGAGTGATGTACTTGGAGCTTGTTGTGTTGTACCTAATCAATCGACGAGGATTGCTTTATATTGATGATTACCTTTTGGTACTTATTGTTGCTCGGATTAATGAGAAGTGAAAATTCATTACCTGCCTATATTTGCTAGAGTGAAGATCATCTTATATGTTTTATTAATTTTGGGTGCTATTAAAATGAATTGTATTTATTAAAATTCTTAATTCGTGTGCAGCTTTTTTGAACAACACTTGAAAAAAAAAATTAAAAAAATTACAGTTTCCATCCTTAAAAGTTTGTATTGATTTTATATTCTGAAATGATTTGTGCAGGCCAAAATTAAACATTCAGGCACATTTTTTACCATTCTTCAAAAAACAAAAAGTAAAAAAACTCAAAAACTCTCTCAACCTTTCGATTTTCTTTCGCAAAGCCCGTGCAAATCGTCAACAGATCGGAGATAATTTTTACGTTTTTACGATCCTCTTGTTATGTAGATTACGAATCCGGAAAAAAAAACGAAAAAAATCACACGTTGGGCTTGCTCGTGTGAATTTACACGAGCGCATCCACTGTGCTCGTTGTAAATCCACACGAGTAGGCCTTTTTAT